CCTAAAGCCATCCTAAAACAGGACAGTGCTGGAGCCTCTCTCTATGAACAAAGAAGACGAGGAGGAGACTGAAAGAAATAGAAAGAGCTCCCAGCCTGCGTGACTCTGCCAGCCAAAAACTCCAAGCAACACACCACGAGACCGCAGCTGTGCACCCCAACCTCCAGCCAAAACAGCCTGATCTCCCCTGGTGTCAAACCCCTCTCCACCCAGCTCTCCTCTGACTTCCAGAGGGAGTCTGATCATGATAGTTATCATCCCAGCGTTGTCGTTGAACTTGTTTGGTTACAGCCGATCCGAGTGGATAAAGATTGCTGTTCTTTTCTTTGGCCCCGCTTTCTCTCATCTTACGCTCAGAGTGCAGCCCCTGAGGCGTGAAGTTAAGCAGTAATTGTCATGGCTCCCGTCAGCTGCAGGTGCACGGCTGCAATCTCACACACGAGAAAGTTCGGATACTGAGGTCATCCAATACGCTTGCCAGGTATTCGAAATGAAAGACAGTGTATGTGTTTGTCTAGCTTGCACTAGAAAAGGTGGAAAGGGTGTTGCCCTCGTGATGTTACCCATCAGTTTACTCCGAGCATCACTGAATGCTCTGATAGCTTTCTAAGGCAGACGTATTCTGATGATCGCTCAGCGTCCCCACTCTGTTTCTTCAGCACAACCATCTACCACAGCCAGCCTGTCCAGCCAAACCCTCCACGGTACTACAGTAAGGTAGGGCAGGCAGCCCACCCTGCCGCTCCAGGCGTCCCCTCGCTGTCCAAGAGCAGCGAGGGCTGGAGGGAGTCAGGTGGTTAGAGTGAAAGGGAGCGAACAGCAGAGGGACTGAAGAGGTGGAAAGCAAGGAAAAAAAGTGCTAGCTTTTATTTTTTTTACCTTCTTGGTACACTGCCTAACTGTATTGACTAGCTCAGAAATGACCATGTCCACACATTTGGTGCAAGGCTCTTTAATCTTCCCAATCTGCCTTTTCACAATGGTCTCAAAGGCCATGTCCGGGGTGAAGAGGCCAGTTCTGCCCGACACAGAGAGAAGCAGCCACAGGGCCGAAAGACGAGAGGAGGAGGAGGAGTTGGTGGAAAGAAAGAAAAGAGAAGGAATAAAGAGGGTTGGGTAGAGAGGAGAGTGTTAATTATAAAGATTTACCCTCCACTTCTGAGTTTTAAACAGAAACAAGCAAAAATTCAGCAAAAGACAGGAAAAGGCAAGGAACCGGGATGTGATCCTACACAGCAAATATTCAGTTATTGTTATATTGTTTTAGACCAAAGAGGCCGTCGTGTTACTCACATTAGTCATATACCTTTTATAATCAAGCATCACAGCAAGTATTTTACATACAGGGCTTAACAAATATAATAGAGCACCTGTCATAAAAGCAAAGACTTTTTAAAAAATAGTTTCAAACTAAAAGAACTGTAACTTTGTCATCTTGATAAAAATAATAATTTTCTTTACTATTTTTCAGCTTTTTATAATAAAACAATCAATTTAAAAATTCAAGGATAACAACAATAATTTTACTATATAATTTCCATTAAAGAGCTTGTTTATATTGGTGGATTATACAATAACCAGTACTGTTATTTAGGGCTGCTGTGGAATTAACCTTAAAGTTAGTGGTGGTTTAATAAAACTGTTAAGCAGTGTATGTGCAGTAATCCACATTTAAACAAATCTAACCACGGCTCAAAACAATTATTCACACTTTTGTTTCTCAAATAACTAAACGGAAAATCAGAGCAACTTTGGGGGTCAGATATTTATTTTAGCTTAAACGAAATTTACATTTTGGTTTTACAATTTCAGTTTTTAATATTTGTTTTGTTTCTTATTTCTTGATTTTTTGTATTATCCTGTTTAGTCTACATGTTATCTTACTCTTTTTTTTTATAAGTCTGTTTGTTGCACATAATCGTCGTGTTTTGCTCAGCTCTCGTTATTTTAAAACATACTTAAACCAGAAGCATGATTTTCTTACATCAAAATGTGAAGAGCAACTCTTTTTTATCTTGCTTTTACATCCTGGTAAACATCTATCTGGCATTTTAAAGACATATACATGAACGAAGCAGAAACCAGAAGGGATAGAAATCCTAAATATTTTGGCACTAATGGAAATATATTAAATATGATTTCTTTGCACAGCTCATTTATGTTTCATAAATATAAATATATATATATATATACAAACCCACAAGTTTTGCCATACACCGTAGTTTGATTTTGACAAACAAAACTCTAAATCAAAACGTAGCCTAATTTTTGGGGTGAAATAAAATAGACAGTAAACATGCACATCATCAGGAAGAGAGAACAAGAACATCCCAGAAATAAGGTACAGAGATGAAAAGCCCTTTTATCAGCATGAATGTGCAACCACATAAAAAACGAGGGTACCCAGCAGTCACCAGCTGCGTCTGTTCCCAAACGACCCTGTGCTGAAGTATATTGTATAACCTTAGTGTGCAGCAGAGCCCTCAATTTGTGTTACTGCTGTCTTGGATTAGCAAAGAGGGTAGTTGCAGGTTAGATGTGACTGAGACAAAGAGATGGGAGGTGAAGCAGAGAAAGAACAGAGGGAAGGGTGGAGGGTGAGCTGGAAGGCGGACGTGCCTGATGCCATGAATGTTCTTGATAGCGTAGCTGATTTCCTTGCGGAGTTCTTTCTCGTCAAACTCCATCTGAAAGGCAGACAGAGAAAGGAAGATGTTGTCAAACATGGACATGCAGACTTTGTATTCTCCCTAACTCAGCGCTCGCTTTCATGTGACTTTGTTGACTATTCCTGCAACATCTGTTTTCAATATATTTGTCCAAGTATCTCCATTATATTTACTGCGATGCCACATTCTCCCCTGCTTTTACTCAAAATTTAATATTTTCTCTGAAGCGTGCACCATAAGCAAATAAAACATAATGATGAATTGACTTCTAGCTACTCGCTGCGGCTTCTAATGTATCTGGCAGGCTTTGAGGGTTTTCTGCGTTTTGAGTAAGTTTTCTGGTTAGGAAGCAACCTGCTCTTTTTTTTTTTTTTTTTACCTCAGCGGGAAACCAACACTGCATTTTTTTATTTTTTTTTTGCAACTTGGTCACAAACAGTAAGTTTTATATCCTCAAAGGGAGGGCGAGAGAGGACAGGGAAGAAAAGCGGGGAAGAGAAAGGACGGGCATAGTGTGAGAGAAAATTAACCAGACCAGAGGGAGCAAGTAAAGATCTAGAGGATTAATACAAGGTGAAAGGCGGACAGAGACGGCAAGGGGAGGCTTTAAAAGTGGATGGAAATGGTGATGGGGTGAGAGAAACAGTGTGAGAGGTAAGGTGGGAGACGTCGGGGCGAAGAAGCTCAGGCACTTCCTTTTGGCGAGGAAAGCGGGACAATGAGGGGAGAAATGTCATGATTTAAAGAGACTGAGAGAAACTTGACTTTAGGACCTTTTTTCTGTCGACAGTGTCTAAAATACAGACACAGAATTATTACAAAGACAGTTCATCCAAAAATGAACTAGACTGTTTTGGAGTGAGTTGTCCATGTTTGGAGATCCAACTAAGAGCCACTTGCTTTTTGTTACATAGAGGTTTATTTTTAGCAATGTATCTTTTGATAAATCATGACCCAGCTCCTCAAAAACAAATGTACAAACCTTGTAGTGAGGAGACCTACTTTTCTTTCCCCCTAACAAACTTAATTTGCAGAACAAATGAAATATGCAGCTGACTAATCCAAAGTTATTTATTTGATTTACAGACTTGAGCCACTCTTCATTTGTTTAGATTTAGCTTACAAGGAGATTTTTAAAGTAGTCTTGAGTTCTCCAGGCTTTCTGAAGGTCTTCCACAGTTTTTCTTTGGCTGCTTTTTCAGTCCAGTCCTGACCCAGTCCGAGGGCCATTTTCAGAAGAATGTTTTTTGTTTTTGTTTGTTTGTTGAGCTGCTTAACACTGACCTATGAAACATTCAAGCACACATAATTAGTTCCCACGTCTAAAAACTTGTCATATCTCAGCATTGTGTGCAGTGTGGCTTAAAATTTTTTGAGGGAACTGGACAAGTGGAGTCTATCAGCTGATGAACAGAATCTAAAAGTCACGTCCTTAAGAAATAGGGGGGAAAAAAATCAAGTGAAGACATGACACAGGATGGCGAGGACCTACAGCCATCTCTAAAACACAGAAGAGACTCTGAACTTGCTGTAGTTGCATTTAAGCCATCAATCTGATTCTGGTCAAAACTGATCAAATTATAAATGCAGGAAAGTAAAGTCAGATTTTGATTCACCATCTGCAAAGCTTCTGAGTGGCTAATTTTTCAGCATGACAATGATCCAAAACACACTGCCAATACAGTAAAAGCATACCTGGATAGAAAAACACACAATGAAACACTGTCAGTCATGGATCGGGCTCCCCAGAGCCCGGACCATAACATTATTGAAGCAGTGTAGGATCAACATCCACAGAGCTTTTAATGTCCTTCAAGAAGCCTGAGTATGAATCCTGAATACTATAAGAAATTATAAGAACTCTTACCTTCATAAAGGTGATCATACCAAATATTGAATTTCTAATAAGATCATTAGAATCGGAGAAATCCCCTTGTTTTGCCTTATATACTTTATTTCTATGTATGTTTGCCCATGTTTTAAAACAAAGCCCTGAACCTATTTCCCATTTTCCTAGCATCACACACAAAAAGAGGTGTGGCTCAAGACTTTTGAACAGCACTGGATTTACACTGTACAATAACAAGTACAATATAATCGAAAGGTTTCTACGACACTAAACTGCCATATAAACCCTGTGCATAACTTCCTGACATCTCAAAACTGACACACACCTTGACCAGTTCAAAGGGGAAGCGTTCATGGAAGATGCGATTGATCCTGGCACCGCCCGACAGCTCGGCCGTGTCGATCTGGTCCCCAGAGCCCTCTATGCATTTTTCAAAATCCACCGAGAACTGCTGCACCATCCTACAGGAAAAGATGCAGATATTAACATTTCTCTGTGTGTGTGTGTGTGTGTGTGTGTGTGTGTGTGTGTGTGT